CCGCCCGGCGCGGGTGAGGGCGCGGGGCGGCCCGGCCCCGGCCTCGGGCTCCGGCGGCGGTGGAAGACCCAACTCCGAGCGCCGGTATCGCGTCAGGAATGAATAAATACGATGGCTTCTGGCTTCCATGTGGCGGAGCTTGTCCCTGCGATGTGTCTCTGCGTGCTGTCAGCTGCTGAGAGTCAAGTGATAAGCGCACCTTTTGTTAATTCTTTCTTTTTTTTCCTCGTGCACATAGAGCAACCATCAACGCCTTTTTTTATTTATTTTAATTCATAATTTTACTTCATTAGCGATGTAAAATGGATTGTTGCAATACATCAGCATTCTGAGAGGACTGTGTGATAACCTATGTGTATGGCTGTAGAGGGTACCTGAAATTCCGGGAGGAATATGCAAGGAGAACAGAAACGAACAAATGTGCGTACAATCCTATTTTAGAAAAGCATTGATCCATTCTTAGAATGGAAGATGAAGCAAAGTATACATGTGCCTTGAGCAGCATTATAAATAATCAGAAGTATGAATAATTGGGTTAATAACCAGGATTTAACTGCTTTCTTCTTCTAGAAGGATAAGGGAATAGTTTAAGAGAAAAGTGTTGCTCTCTATAAGATACCATGAATGCTAATTTCATTACATCAGCTGCTTGAATGCTGTAACTCATGCAGAAGTTTTTTTATTGGGCAGAAACTATGTTTTGCAGTATACTTTTCCAAAGTGTTATGAACTCTGGAATAGGTTATTCATAGCAAGATAGTATTTGGCAGACTTGGTTAAGATATTGGTTCATCAAGCTAATTATTCTACCAACAGCAGCATCCTTTTCCTGATACTTTAGTCAGGAGTGATGTCAGATGAAATGAAGTAAATCATGATGTCGGACTGATGGCACATAAATGTTACTAACTGAAAATTTTGACATATTGTGATAACTAGGAGAGCATTTTGTAGGGGAAAAAAACCCCAACAACACTGCTTATCTGTAAAAATAATTTAGTTTTGATAGGAAGGATTTTCTGGAATAGCTGTGGTAACATACAGATTGGTGTCTATGTGCTTATTTTGATGAGCAAATCAAAGCCAGAAATGAGCTATACTGAACTGGCTAATTCTCTCCTTTCTCCTCTGTGAAGCTAAAGGATCAGCCTTCAAGTAATAATGCTCTCTTGCACTGTGGGAGGATATTAACTGCTTTGGTGTCCATCACAATGAATGAATTTCTGGGGATGTAGGGAGGATGAAGCAGGACTGTGTGTACAGCCTCATTAAGAAAACCAGGTTATCCACTCTCTGTTACTAGAATTTTCAGTAGTTCCATGGTTTCCAGCCTCATGCTATGTCTTCAAAACTACTAACTTGCCAGAGTCTGATCCTACAAAATAATGAACAATTTCTGGAGGTTCTTAATGTTCTTCTGTTTAGAGCAGGGAACTCTCAGCACCCACAAAAATTCTTAGTGTTTAAGAGCAGCATGGATTATTAGGATTATCTGATATGCTGCCATACATGACAAATGATGGAACTTCATACTGGGACAGCATGTCTTACCTAAAATTGCACTGTATGTGTCAGGTTGGTGACCTGCTCACAAAAGGACAACAGTTGTCCAAACCCAGAGCAATGTTTGTCAGAGGCTCTAGCAGAGAATTCTTACCATGAATAAGGAACAAAACCTAACAGGGACAGGAGGAATGACTACCTATGAAGATAGAGTTTTGCAGAAATTGTGTTTATAAGCAAGTAATCTTTTTCATAGTCACAGTAAAATTGCTCTATCAGTCTTTGTCCTTGGAAATCCTGAAGTGGCAATTACTTTGGACACCGAGTAAACAAGCAGTGCAGGAGGATACTTATGCCAAGGACAGGTAGAAGAAATTGGATGCAAATATTTGCACTTCAGATTTCATTCAGCCAGGAGGAAGGTTTCTAGAAATTACACAGATTCTGGAGTGAGATGTCTATTTGCATTTTAAAGAAAACAAACAACAACAAAAAAAGCGCAAAACCTTAAGTGATGTCAAGCATATAGATTTTTTTTTAAAATGATTGTTTCATTAGGTAAAAAAACTCAGAGTTTAATGGTCCTATTATTTAAAAATTTTGTAAACCAGATGTTTAATTTTTTGAATAGGAGCACATCAATTTTGAGATGATGTTAAAGGATTGTAAAATTACAGTGATGTAAAATTATAACATGAGTATTTCGTCTCATTTTTTCCTTTCTGGAACAAAAAACAAAGGCATAACAGTTCAGAACTTCAAACAAATTACAATGTTTTCACTACACCAGAACATCAGTAAATAAAATCGTAGTAAGTCTTCTCATGAGACCTTATACACTTACGGATTGTCTTGGTTTTGATTAAAAGAATAAAATTACTTCCAGTTTTACCATTTTGTGTGAAAGGGAGATGTAAGGCCCACAAGTATTCAAACTTAGTGCATGAAGTTCATCTCCCATTTAACACCAATGAAGTCCTTTTTACATTCTTACAGTTGCTTCATTGTTCTAGCTGAATTCAACCACTATGAGGTCTTTTGGGAAAAAAAGACAGTGCTTTGTTCAGGAGGCGACTGAAAAGTGCATTACTACTTTAAATAGTGCATTATGTGCCAGTTGAAATAGAAGCTGAAATATTCCTGAAAACCAGGAGGTTTATTTGTCCCCATTCCTACACACATGCTCCTGTGGCTAATCGGTATTTTGAATACCTAGTGAGGTAGATGCTGCTGTGGCACACTCAAGATGTGGGATATGCACCAAGAAAGCAAAGTTCTCCGTTGTGTTCTTTTATGTAGAGTTGATGAAATAGCTACTTTTCATGAGATCAACCATTCAGGGTGTTCCCACAGCAAACACAGCAATCTGATTTAGCAGGCTGGCTGGATTGTGCTAACTGATCCACAGAAAGTTGTGACTCTGTTTGCGAGTTGCTTCTCTTTTAAATGCTGAATTGTACAACTTGTTGATAGTATCAGAGCTTGGAGAGCAAGACCAAAAGTCTGAAGCACGTCCTAATCCTTGAGATTCTCATTGCCATGTGCTGGTTCAATGAGTACAGCACTATTGCAGAGCCTGTCATGTTTTGTAGTATGAAAAGGCATTTAGGCAAGAAATAAGTGAAATTTAATCTACTCCAGCAAAATAAATTCCCGGTTCTTGAGCATGAAGTAAAAGCTCCGTTACATATGCTGTCCACAATGGGTAGTAAATTAAAATTTAATGGAGATTTCCTCTGCAAGTTACAGAGAAAAAGCAAACAAACAAACAAAAAAAAGCAAAATCAACAAAACCCAAGAAAGAGCAAGATTCAGATTGCCTGGGATTATAGGAACTGGAGGAAAAATAAAGACTGGTAAACTGAATGCCTTTAAATAACCAGAAAACATCATGAAAACCTAAAACTTTAAGAATGCAAAGGAAATTTAATTATTAATTCAGAAATTACTTCTCTTATACTTAGAGTTCATACAATATTTTAGATTAGAGATAGTTAACACAGATTGTTCTATGTTAATTTCATTTTCATATTGGTTTCTCCCAGATTACAGTTGCACTTACAGCTGTAAAAAGGTAAACACCTATAACTCGAGACTTACATAGTGTTATGCCTTATAAGAAAAATATTGTGAAGGAAATACATTTGTTTTTATTTCGGACAGAACTCTGTACTTTTCTTTCATTGTTGCCATTTACTGCTTTCTGTTTGTTGTGACTTACTCATTTAGGGAAGAATTGGGGGTTTTGTTCTTTTGCTTGGTCTTTTTTAAGGAGTAGTGATTTTAAACCAATAAAAACTGTGAAAAGTGAAGATATGCAGAACAAATATGATGCAACTTTAATTTTATCAAGATAATCTGATTTCAGGTTGATAGTACTTCTTTAAGTTTTAACCTACCATGGTCAAGACAATCTTATGTTTCTACTTACAGAAATAATGGATTTATATTTTGATAATATGACATGCATAACTTAGAAAATACTTAATTTCGTACACTATTTTTTTTCTCTTTTTTTTTTTTTTTATGCAAAGGAATCTTAACCCCTTTGCTATTTGAAGCAAAATTCTGGATAATTTACAGTACCATAAGTGCTCTGTGTTAACATGTATCATTGCCTTTACAGAATCCTCTGGGAAAGAAAAGTGACACTGTAAAAACTTTCAAATAATTTTAGGTTTCACTGGCTAGGAAGGGGAAACTGACCAAGACGCTCTTAAGCCTAAATCAAGGTATGTCATAGTCAGTGGAGCAGCTGCACTGATTTCACTGCTATTTGAGCTGAACTATCCTTGATGTTCCTAGTCTGTGTTCTGGGAAAACATTTATACACACATACACACTTTTATGAGGTTCTTTTTTAATCATTGTTTCTCTTTGACTGCTTCACCTCACTGCCAAGCCAACAGTGGATCCAGTGTCTCTTTCTTATTACTGTGTTTCCTTTGTTACACTTGGCCATTTATTGTGCTGCACTGTGAATGCTGGGAGTATGAAAAGCCTTAACTGAATTGTAGACATGTATAATTAATATCTGCCAGCCTTTCTGGAAATATTAAAGCACAGGATGTATTATACCTCTGGTCTTAGCCTTATACATTTAGATTTTAATTCATCTAAGGACACCTTTCACTATCTGGTGAAAAAGAGGATACCCAACTCGATCACAACAAGACCTCTTTTTCCATTAGCAGTACCTGTTTTATACATGGAAGGTTTAATTGTTTCCAGAACAGCTTCATTAACTTCTGAAAGTGTTACCAATACAGGCCTCCCCAGAGCCAGGATGCTAATTAGATAGAAAACTGGCCTTGCAGTAGTTTGAGGAGTGGTGTCTTTTATTTTTTTTGAAGAGAGTAGGAGGGCTCATTCCATCATTGACAGAGTGTTTCAGAATGTAGGAATAGCTGCCTGTTGTATGAGCTCAGAGAATACTTATGAAAAATTAATTATCCCCACAATGAAACAACCTCTTCAGACAACCATCAGTAGTGAGCCTAATAATGATTATGTAAATAATGTTAAGAAGTCCATTCAAGGTCCATGCAGTTCAAGCAGTGTCCTTTATGACCAGCACTGTGTGTCAGCCCCAAGGCCCCTGACTCAGTGGGTTGGGTATGTGCCTTATGAATGCTTGGATTGCTTCCTCAGGTACCCACATTGTCAGTAGTAACACACCTGGCCCTTGCCACATTTACACTGACTTCTTATTAAAGGTGTTTTAAGTCTGACCAAAAAAAAAAAACCTATACAGGACTAAAGAGTAAGTGTAAATACAAAATGTAAACAAAATTAAAATAATGGATTAATAAGAAAAACATAGATCCTATTACAAGTAAAAGCATGATATCAAGAATTGTTATAATAGTTTGAAGTTTTGTATTGATGGTCAGGCCTTTAGAATCTGTATGAAAAAAGTACCTGGATTGAAAATAGGTACTAAAGGAAAAGAAATTACCCCTGACCTTTTTATAAGGATCACCACCTAATGTATCAAATAGGAAAGTTTTTGGCCAGTAATAAAATACAGTAATTATCAGTCAAGCCCTAGAACTTCCATATTTTTCCCCATGAAGGTTGTGTTTTAAATATTTTCTAGGAGGATTTCTCTAGAAGGCAGAAGCGGATTATAGCTGCTACTTTCCAGTGAAAAGAGAGTAAAATAAACCCCACATCCTGACTAATGGCTCAGGCTTATTTGCTTTTTGGCCAGTGCAACAATAAGAGTGCCCAGTATGAAAGTTTTCTGGCAGTTTAACAAAGATGTCCAGAAGTCAGTCTGTAGCAGAAAGTCCACTTTCATGTCCTTGTCAGACTAAAGCACAATGAAAATGTGTGTACATTCTTCTGAATATGAGCAGGGAGCATAGTCTGAACAGTTAACGCGAACTTAAGTGGCCACAAGTGGTTGTGTATCCTAGAAATGGACTGTGAATGAATTAAAATGTTCTTTTGCTGGGGATGAGGTGTGACTGTGAGCTTCATCCTGCTCTCTGTGCAGGACTGTCAGTGTTAAAGAAAGTTTCTGTGTTCTTGCTGACATTTCAGAAGTTGCAAGTTATGATCTGGATTTGCTACATTGGCAAAAGAATAGGACAGGTCACCCCATCTCAGCAGTGAAACTGTCAGTAACAAGGATAATCCTCCTCAGTCTCAACAGCACTTACAGGGAAGTTGATGCTAAGGTCAGGCAAGAAGGCAAGACCAACACTAGTGCCAATGAACCTGTCAACATTAAACACCTCTTTTTTCAGAGTAGTACTTCGACACTTCAATAGTCTGTGCTTCAGACTGTATCTTGACATGGTAGGGGGTTTTCCTTTCATTTGGGTGAAGCTAAAGCTGACAGACATAGTAGAGGCCAAGCAGACAAGGCCAGAAAAAGGACAGACCTTCAGAGTGTGAGGGTGACATTGAAGCAATCCAGCAAAAAATGCTCAAGAAATTTAAGATATTTTACACTCATACTTGTCTTTCTGAGCTTGGAAGCCACACAGGTGCTAGCATTGCTACATCCTCTGAAATTGCAGTCCCTATCAGATTGTGTACTGAGGAAAGGAATAAGCTTTTACTTTCACCATGGATGGTGTCAGAATTCACAGTTCCTGCATCACCTAAAAGAAATTAACAGACCAAGCAAATTTTCCAGTGAAATCAGCACATGTTTAAGTCTGTTAAGGGAAGAATTTCATCTACAGAGGAAATAATTTTAAACAACACTTTTCCAACCAATGTACAAGAGCTCAGTGCTGGAATCAAAAAACTATTCTGGCACCCTGCCCTTTACCCATTTTGAAAATATTTCCAAGTGTGCTACTTTGTTGTTTGTATGTCAACTTGACATTACAACAGTTCTAGTGAGAGGTTATAACTGGAGAGATTTCTCCAGTGCCAGACTTGATGCCAGTGGCTTCCTGAAACTTTTGCCCACCTTCTTCCACTCAGCATAACCAGGTACAAAAACAGATGCAGCCAAGACAAGTGATTATTAGCAGGAGGAACTGTATTCCCTTGCCTTCTCCCAGATCCAGGTGAAAAAGATATGTCACTCCTTGGGAGTGGGCTTTATGCCAAGTACAATGGTGGCTTTGTTAGAGCAATCACTCAGCTTCATTATTACCTCATTTTTATCAATTTGCTTATTGAAAGGAAGGATTAGTGCAAGCCCTCTTTATTTTTCTTTTCTCTATCCACTTTATGGGATATTTACTACTGAGTGATTAGCAGCTGGAACCTCAGAACTAGTGATGGTTTATAAATCCTTTCCGAATTCTGCTAGGGAACAATGATACCAGTCTGGGAGCATTAGAGAGAGAAAAATAAATAAATAAAAAGATTTTACTAACTGAGCCTTTAAAAATCTGTATGTGCTTAGTAGAGAGTTGATAAAAGGGAACAGCTGCATCCTTAAAGAATCTATACCCATAAAGTAAGCTCAGACTTCTGCTTTTTTCTTGACTAACACAGCAGCTAAAATAGCTCGCTCTCCTTAGAGTCATTACCAGGCTTTACATCTGTTGATCCCTCACAGCAAATGATTTTTAAAAAATATTCTCTTCACCACTGCAAGAGAAAAACTGAGTTTTTTCTAAATTGGTTATCCCTCTCTCATCAAGCCTGGGTAGGGATGGATACTGGAATTAACAATGATGAGTTTATTTCTTCAATAGGAGAGAAAAAGACAACAAATGAGATTTGATGGGGTGTTGGGATGCAAGATAAAAAGCAAGACTGGGTGAAGAACTCAGATGTTGCTAAGATAGAAGAGGATACCCTAAGAGTGCCATGAAGTCAGCACCTGATCTTTCTGCACAAATAAAGGATCTGGTAGTAAATCACTCTGTCATCATGTAATTAATAATTGTATTATAATCTGTAAAAGGGGTATCAAAATCCATTTGCATGTGAGAACTTAGTTGTCATTTCCTAATTTTGTGTACTTGAGTTTGCAACCGCATCAATGTTCTATTAACATAGCTTTGGTGTGTAAGGCTGGGTATTACAGGAATGGAGAAGATGGAGCCTTAATAAAGATTTTGTTGTTTCAAGCTTGTACTGACTGCATTGCTCAGAAGTGCCTGTATGAACAGGAAGCTATTTTTTCAGTTTCTTTCTAATGATGACACCTATGGTAGAAAAAGTCCCCATAACCTACTAATAGGCACAAGTAAAAGATGCCAAGGTATCATTGAAGGTCTCAGAACATTATGATAGTCCAAACTGCTTTTATTTGTTGTAGGCTACAGTTAGAATAAAATTCTGCCATCACATTTGGGGTTTGATCCCTGAAACAATACAATAGATACTCTCCCTTCTAAGCATTTTTAATAAACCAGGGCATTAATAAATGACATTTTTTAAGAATGTTTTGACAGGATTGGTGTAACAGGGCATTAGCAGAAAGACAGCCTAGCCACCAGCATTCACATGCTAAAGATGCAAGTGACACCTGCATGACAAATCGGATGCTGGAAGATACAGCTGTTACTGCTTAACTTCCATCCATCTGCCCCACTACCTCCATAGATCAGTTCTTATATGTGCTGGTAAGCAGGTGCACACAATGATTAATTTGATAATCTCTCTCTCTCTCCTGTTGGGCAGATTTAGGCTCAGAATAAAGAAAGTTGTGGCCTACCTATCATGTAACTGATAGCAGAATGTCCATAACACATAATCACAGAACAATTTAGGCTGGAAACACCTCTAAATAGCTAACTTCAGGTGACAAAAGGTGAAATCCAGCAGAGGTACAAGCAAAGAATACTGTCTTAAGACATTAGAAGACTGATTTTAAAGAGGACTCACACCAGCTGAATTAATATTACGTTCCAGTTGAATTTCTAGACCTATTCCTTCTGCTAGGAAAAGAGGCAGCCTTTTGGAAAATATTAATTTTGAGTTTCCTCTGCTGCAAAGAGTAGCCTCAGAAGAAGGACATGCTTGAAGCTATTTGTCACAAAATGTTTAGGTTGGCCAGAGAGCTTGAGACTTCACAAATATGCCTCAAATATGCAGTGCAATTTCAGCATACTGTACATCTCTGATGTAACTGATGCTTAACATGCTGTTTCAAAGGCATCCTTTGAAGAAAATTTCAGTAGACCCAGTCTCCAGCCTGTCCACAGGGCAGTTGTGCAGATCCACACCAAGTTTAGTGAGAAAATGACACTTCCTATGTTAGAATCTTAACATATCTGATGTTAACATATCTTAACATGGCTGATCACCATTCCTTGAATGACAGGACTGCACAGCGAAGTCAGTATCCCCACAACTCTGTATTTGCCAGTTAATTTTGATACAAACATGTGGATATTTTTTTCTTTTTTTTTTCTTTTTTCTCTGGTAATTTCTTTCTCCTTGCATTTGTAAGCCCCAGGTTACCAGCCTTTCTCTGGGGACTGAAGAAGCTTGTCTGGAAATGTTGTGTCAGTTTGTTAGCAGTGATGTTCGTTTTAGGAGTCTGAAAGCAATATGCTCTCCATTACGTGTGTGTCATTTCACCAGGGACTGAAAGATATGGATGAAGTAGGAAGAGCAAATGCAGGAGGACAAGTAGTTAGTAGAAATCACTAAACTCCAGTACTAAAAATATCCTGTCCCCACCAGTTTAAATTCACACCTACTCCTCTGAGTAGGTAAGAGAAAAAAGAAAATTTCCATCTGCAGCTTTTGAAACTTCATTTGTCTCCTGAGTACTGAGCACCAGATCTTCAGCTGGTAGTGCTGAAACCTTACCACGTTTCTGAAGGATCCATTCTTCAGCACCAGAGTGCCAACTTGAGTGTCAGAATTCCATATGACCCTCAGCAGTACTTGAGGGCAAACAACAATTGCCTGGGGATCTCACACGATATTGTCAGCCTGACAGGGCTAAGCTGAATAAAGCACTTTGCAGTTGGGTATAGTGTACAGTTCATTCCTTAGCCACTTCCTGTAGCTACTCTGACTGCTCCCAGCTCTGCCTCTAGTACTATTGCTCAAACCTATTGCTTTCCCAAGACCTAGACACTAGTTGCTAATGAAGAACATCAGCAGAACATTGGCTCATTGGCTGTTTAAAACTGGGGGATGACCATCTCAAAGCCAACCAGACACCAGAAATATCACTGCAGTGTGGACTTGGACTGGGCAGTGAGCAAAGAGGATGGAATCAAGGAGCTGCATCATGCACTTAGATAGTTTAGGTGGAATGAACATAACAGTAGGCCAGGCTAGAATGTAGTTGCTGGAAATGTGGGCACAAAGGTGTTTTGGACTGGTAAAGCTGTTAATGAGAAAGATTACATTGCTTCTAATTGGTATGCATGTTAAATGCCATGCCCCAAACAAATGGAAATTAGATAGGATCCTGAACAGGCTATGTAAAATAAGGCCCAATGAGCAGAACTCAGAGGAGAGGAGCTTGCTGGTAAAACAAGTGAACTTTACCAGTCACTGCAAATAATGTCAAATAGATTCTTTATACTTTCATATTTTTGTTATGTCAAGCTGCAAGAGCTCAGAAATTTTCCAGAGCTTGTTGCAAATGCCATGACTCAGTGGAGGTCTGAGACTCTTTGGGACAGGACTCAAGACTCAAGATCTCATCTCTGGCCTCAGTGAGTCACCAAAGGCTATGGTGCTGAGACCAAAGCTCTGGAAAAGCTATACAGATATACTAAGCACTGCATATTATCAGTTTTCACAGGGAAATCAGGATTTACAGGATTATGTAAACCTTTGCAACAGAGCAGCACCATGTGTGGACCAGGTGAGCCCTGGCCCAGCAGGCTGCTTCCTCTGTACCAGGGCCATGGAAAACCTGCTGTGATTGCAGCTATCACCACAGAGAGAACAGTCAGGATGAACAGAATTAAACACTCTGAAACAATTATCACATAGGAAATTGTTCCAGAGGGAGTCAAAAGGTGCAGTAGTAAAAAAGAACTAGTTAGGTGGAATCTATTACTGCTGTTACAAAAACATTGACTTGGGAAATGAGTTCTGAAGTAGTAATCTCTGTATGATACAGAGGTAATTTTTCAGTTGACACATGTTTTCTTCAGAGGGGAAGAAAATCAGCCTGACTTCTGTACTTCTGTAGTTATAGAAATCCCTTTTCCAAATTTCTCATCTATTTATATATTTCCAGATTCCCTTGATTTTTTAAAAGCAGTTATTCATGGCTGCAAGTGCAAACATCTGGTCAGTGGGAGGGAGTAAAAAGTAGCCAGAATAAAGAACAGTTGTCTGGAGCACAGACAAATCACTGAAGAAGTTTGCTGCTTATTTCTTGATTTCTTCTTTTTTTTTTTTTAATTTCCTTTTATGGCTTGCGTTGGTGGGATTTACAGTCTAAAAGCTAACTCATTGTTAATGCTGGTTCTCATCTGGGAATAGACACATTTAAGTGCTCATACTGTTGTAGGCACTGAAATTTAGCAAGCCTTTTTTTAACAATGCTATTCTATAAAAAGCATAGGGAATGCCCATAAGAGGATCTTTTCCTTTAGCAAAAAGACACAACCTGATTAGAACATTACATAATCTTGATATATCTTTGGTATCTAACACTGAACTCAACCCCTAAGGTGCTGGTGATAACAGCATGCTGGAAAATGGAAAATTGCCAGTCTGGTGACTTTTTCATGGTTTGCCCAGAACTGATGGCAATTACCAGATGAGAAGAAACACAAGAGGAAAAGAAGGATGGCTGCCAACAGTAAAAGTCACTGTTGCTCTTTCCTTTTCAGCTAAGACAAGAAGCCAGTACTCCAGCCATAAGCAGGAACAGGTTGGTGGAGGAATAAGGAGCAGTAACAGATACCTGGACTCTGGAAGAGGCTGAGAATGAGTGAGAAGAGGGTCCTTGAATGCAGATCTCCAAAACTGAATGAAAATAAGTATTAAGAACACATGAAGGGAAAAAAAAAATAAAAAGGAGGGGGTGGAGAGAGGAATAGGTAAAGAAGAAGAAATTGCAATATGGTAAAAGAAAAGGTGGAAGTGAACAATGGAGCCAGAGACCTATGCAAAAATAAATGAAAAGAATGAAGGAAAAACATTATTTGATATTTCAGAGAACTGGAGGAAGTAATTGAGATTAAATCTGGGAGAAAATCACAGAGAATGAACACAGAAGGCTACAAATCTCATTGCAGCTCACAGCTTTCCCAGTGTGCTGAATGACTAACTCAACAATCTCATCCAACTTGTGAAATATTCAAAATACCATTAGTTAATTTTGTAACCTCCTCCCTGGAAATGCAGTACACTTTTTGTACCTCTAGAAATGTGTCTCACAAGTTAAGAAGTGATTAATTTGACAAGTTATTGAGCCCAACTGTCCCATCAGTAACCAACTTGAATAGGAAGGCCAGTAAATATGTTGACAGCAGAACATCAGTGAGTAAAATAATGATCATTCTGTAGAGGTTAAATGGGAATGGCAAAACAGCTATGCTGGCTCTTGCCCACTCTGAGCTTGTGCAGTAAATAAGTGTTGTCAGTCAGTCTCCAAATGTTACATTCAAGAGTGAAATCAAGATAAAAGATCTGAGCCTATCCCTGATCTGTTCTCTTATAAAAAGAAGACATTTTATGAATATTGTCTGAGTGTTAATGAATTCAGAATGTAAACAGGGGCTGATATATTTGATTTATAAACACAGTATAGGAAACAATCCCTAATTTCTTGGAGTTCTTGGCATCTTGCAAGGACTCCTGTCCCTTTTAGTATCCAGTATGGATTATGTTAAAAGTAAATTCCTCTGTTAAATGTCAGCAAATCCAATAAATGCATTAGCATCTTATCTAAGCAGATTGTTCCAAGTGATTTTACAATGGTTAGTACATTTTATATGTGGCAAAAGTCTTTAGCAATATCTGTTTTCCTTAGTTTCCTGTTAATTTGTCAAGGACTGACACACTAGGCTTCATCACAGACCAGGCAGGATGAACTCCTGATGAACATTGACCACTGAGACTAATAATACCTAGTTATGGCAAAAGTTTCTCCTGTGTGTGCACTTTAAGGAGAACTTTAAGTTCTCCCTAAAGCAGACTATGAGAATATCTAACCACATCAATGACCAAACCAGCAAAACAAACTAACTCAGGGTAAGAACTTAGGCTCAGCTATTGCCGGACGGAATTCCTTTTCTCAGAACTTTATCCCAAATATTCAAAGTCTAACATCTGCCTCCAGTAGGCAGCAGGAGATTCTGGCAAATTTGGTTAATGCTATGAGTCTGGGGCAGCAAGAGCTTCCTGCTCATTTATCAAGTACAATTTGAGGTACAGCTAGGATTTTTGTGTTATGAGGGTTTCACAGCCCCTTTTAGCAAAATGCAGTGCAGATGAAACATTTGAGTTAGCAAAAGGATAATGCAGAGTTTGCAATGCAAAATTAGACCTGATAAAATTGTAGAGGGAGCGTTTTTAAGAGAAAGATAAGCAAATGTCACATTGGGGTTAGAGTCCTCAGGAAGTTAGAAGTGAAATTCTCTGGCTTCAAGGGTCTTTGGAAAATGGCAGCTTATTCCTTTGAGAATGCAGTAACAAACCAGCTGGTAGGGAGGGGTGATGCCAGATGCTGCAACGTGTGCATTGAGGTAGGAAGGGAGCAGATGAATAAAGGGAATTTTCTCCAGTCTAATAGGCAGCTAAAGGAAAATTACTTCAGGAATTAAAAGCATACGAAGAAAAAAAATACAGTGGCCCAGCATACTGGAAACTGGAGGTGAATGTAGAGCTCTATTGTCTCCCAAAGACAGACACAATTATCTCTTATTGAGAATTTTATTGTCCTTGCCCATCTCCAAGACACAGGAGGATCATGGCTCTGGAATCTCACAAAGTTACATTTCACAAAGACAACCATTCCCTCAGAAAGTGACAGAGGAGAAAGATTTGTAGCACTGGTGAGAGGGTTTCTGAAAGGAGATAAAGAAACAAAACTGCTTTGAAGATGTTGTACGCAACCATGTAAAGTTTCAAGCTGGAACTGATGTAAATCTCACACAGGGAAGGAAGGATGACAGAGCTGCTGTGGGACTTGCAGCCAGCAGTGGACCACCCCATGAAGACTGTTTTTCACTTACACATTAACTTCACAATGTGCAGTTTTCATCCTGTTGATTTTGATGCATCCTTCTGTTTCTAGCAGCTGCCTATGCACAGTATGTATTGTGGCAGAGGAGTAATGAATCAGAGAATTGCCTTCTCATGAGACTAAGCTAAGCAAGATGCCTGTCTGGTGGTAGCCAGCTTCTTTACTAATAAAAAATTCAAACCATTACATCTCCTTCACTCTGAGGCTGGCTCTGACACTCAGTCAGCCTCTTCCTTACAGAAAGCTGACAGTTGGACCAATTTTAAAGCTTACAAATCTTCTCATCTTGTCTGCATCTGTTCCAAAAGAGGCAGAACTGAGCTTAAAAAACCAAAACCATGTAACATAAACCCATAGTTTTAAGAGGAACTTGTCCCCAGACAGGTACCTGATAAAGCAGCATTTTAAACCACTTTTCCCTGGCATTCTTTTCACCTATTACTCTTGACCTGTAAATCAGCTCCCAGGAGCACAGTAATGACTGAAGGAACAATATCAAGTCCTGACCCCTCTATCTGACAAACACAACTGAAGGGACAGCTGAGAGCACGCTTTGTTGAGGTAGAAGCAGCAACACTGAAAGCATTCATTGCCTTAGCAACTAGGACAACCTCTTCTTTAATTAGCACATCATGGTCTGAACTTTGCTAATAGAACCTGCCTACACTGCATGCTAACCATGGGTTAGGTAATCTCGCGCTTGCCAACACAGGCAGCCTACCACGCTCCTGCTTCCTGACATTCTCCACATGAGCGCTCTGTTCTCAGGTCCCACATCTGCAGGCAGGCTGTGGGTGGTGTTAATGAATGATACATCCTTGTGGTTTCTCACCCTGGACTCATGATCTCCTATCCCATCACATATTTGTCAGGGCTGGCAGGCACAGGGTGCTGTGGAACAGCTTCTGTGTGCTGTCTTAGGATTTGGGAGGTTACTGTCTATGACAAAGGAATTATTTCCTGGCATTAGCTTAGACAGGAAATGCTGATATGGAAGAGAAATAAGAGAGCTACCTCACTGCCCAAGCAGCCCCCCTTGGCCTATCCTCCCCAGTTCCTCTCCCTGCCACCCTCTTCTGGAGCTTCTTCACCAGTGGCATTACTGATGACCACATGACATCTCCAAGATCCAATGGCACCAGCTATTATGGAATACTCTCTTCCAGAAGACATGCCATAGAGGTCTGTAATGCAGTTATTCTCTGATCCTTCCCCTAAATTGCAGGGGAAAAAAGTTATTAAAAAAACTGATCAAGGAAAAATAGATATCTGGATGAAAACGAGATTTGAGAGAAAAAAAAACCAACAAACAGGGTTGACAAAGTCATTGTCATAGCTCTAACTACAGCTCATTGAAATTTGTATCAGCATAGCAATAGTAGCGTTAAGTTTAAAGCAGAAAGTAAAACTAGTCTGAGTTACACTGCTCAAATATTCTGGGCTGAATTCTGTACTGCCACTGGCATTAGAGAGGTAAGGTCCAAAGCTGGCATGGGTGTGACTGTAGGAAATCCTACCAAAGCAATGGAACAAGCTGTGCTCTGAGACAACAGGTCTCACTAAGTGGGAAAATGCAGCACTCAATAGAGGAGAAAACTAAATTTTGATTGTTTTAAATGCTTTAGTTAATAACACTATGAACTAAAGAAGCAAACTCCTCTCTTTTTTTCTCCTGCTTTATTGAATTAACCCTGGGAATTAGGGAAAGAACACAAGATCACATGCTGGGTTTGGAACGCCTGCTCAGCAAAACAGTGAATGACACTGTGACTACTTTTGGGATCACCTTCAGGGTACTTTCACCCACGGTTTCTGTAAAACTGCATGACAAGATCTTTTTTAATTACAATATTTACATTGAAGAAGAGGTTTTCACAATAAAGTGGGGATGGTTTCTGTAGATATTTGTTTAAGGTTTTGGTGTGGTTTGTTTTGTTTGTTTTTATTGTTGAACAAGATGAACAGAAAGGGAACACTGCTTCCATCATACAAAAGTACAGGTACCTATTCAAGATACCAGATACGCCTTATAAATGTACACTCTTAGAAGCAAGAAATTGCACCTCAAAAATCAGTAAATTCTCCACGTGCACATGCATACCGTACAGTATCAATCACACATAAAATATCAAGCTTGCATTCTCAAATGTGGCTAATGCTTGGAATGCTGACAACAAGATGCTTTTCTTCTGTTCTTTAAAATGTCAAACTTTTAACAGATCATTGCCCCAACAGAATCAGAGATTCAGAGAAGTGCCGTGATCAAAGGCACACACCATGCTTCTGAAGAGGAATTAAGGAAATGCAAGTTCAGCTGGTATAAAGAACTATCACCTCTTTGGTCTGGTTATGTGCATCTTTAAATTAGCCATTAGATAATTCTGCCACTTCACTGAACTTTCTGCATTGAAGATATTTATTCTTCCTTGTCCAGGAGGAATGGTTTTAATGGTAGTTATGGAAAAAAAAGAGATAATAAAGCTCCCATGCAAATCTTACGTTTTGTGTATTTTCTTATTTGACTATAAAAGTGTTATTCCCAAAGGTGTGGGGTCAGGGATGTTTTAAAACTGCTGATGAGCATCACCCATTGCTATCTTAATTAAATGCAAGTGATTTACCTATTACAAATGACTTTGCTCCATTACAAAATCCTTTCCTAGTGTATGGAGGCATAAATAGAGAGCTGTGTATCAACTGCATAAACTCTTTCTATAGAATAGAAATAGTGAAGCTGACTTCCTCTTGTGAAGTATTTTGAGATCTACTCATGGAATGTGCAGCAGGAGCAGGTAATTTCATTATTACTCTAAAAGCCTCTTGCCCTTCTCTGCACTAGCATATCTGGCAGATACTCACTCAAGCAATTAATATATGGGATGCTATCAATTCAGAGTGTTCTTTCCTTTAGCTGGAAAAGTAACAGGACCTTGGAAACCACATAATAAAATTACTTTTCAAATGAAATCTGACATACTTGTACACTGCCACTTGTTTTTATGCACTGATCCCTCCACCTTTAGAGAGATCTTGCTGACAGTTCCTGCAGCACTCCTGCCCTAGGACAGTGATGATGATACTGCATTAAACTTCTCCTTGGAAGCCACCAAGCCTCTATTGCTTCTGTAAACATCTCTGGCAAGCAGAGCTTGCTCTTCTCTTCCTGTGCAATGGAATCATGGGGAAGCAAGAATGAAAGCAAGAATTCCTTGGTCTATTAAAACCTGGAATTTCTGCAGTATTTTACCTTCCAGGATTATTTGCTTCTGGAACAGGTTGGTGGGAGAGAAAGGCAACAGATACTTCCTGTGACATTTTTCTTTTCACTTTTTCTGTTGTGTAAAGATAACCAGGAGAGGGTTTTCAGAGCTGTTGTTATTCTCTATGTTGCTCTTACCCTTTCAGAAAAGTCTGCAAGGTTTCAGCATCCCAGGCCTGAAGAGTTTTGGTTCAGTGATGCCCAAATTGGGGTACTCAAAATATTCAGAGGAGACTTTTATGGTGTTTGTTTGCCAGAGCACACAGCTTTGGGAGGGGTGGGGGGTGGAAGGTAAAACCAAAAAAAGAGGTGTTTGCATTAAAAGTACTTTTAAAACTGTAGACTTAAGCATGAGAACTCCTGTCAGCAATTTGCTTTTGCATATAAAGAGTGGGCTAAACCAGGGAACTTCCAGTAAGTTTCCTGGATAGTGGGCAGATAACAT